GTGCACCGTAGGTGCCGTCCGAAAGGTCGCCGCCTCGGACACCATGTCGTACTCCTCGCCTTCGCTCTCCGACAAGCTTACCTGCTGGACAGGGCGCTGCATCGGTCTTGCTTTGGAGGTTGGTGCCTCCCCCGCGGCGCACGTCTTTGCGGGCCACGGCATCGGCACAGGCTTCGAGTACTTGGGCGCCATCACTTGGTCGGGTGGATGGCACGAGAGGTGCAGCTCGAGAGAATGTGCGAGGCAGTTACCCACGAGCCAAACAGCTGACGGGGGGGAGGGGGAGGGGAGGGGGCTGTGCACCGGACCAAAATGGGGAGGCCAACTGCCAGGGCGGGACAACGGTGACACAGGAAGACGATGGGCTGAAGCCAGCGGTTCCAGATGCGTGGGGCCCGTGCATTATGTTGGCGGAAAACGGCCTGACCCCCGTGCGGGGCCCTGGACGGGCAGGAGAGGGGGGAGGGGGACGAGGCAACCACGTCGCGGGCGGGCGACAAAGCGGGCGGCGGGCAGCCGACGGCCCCAGGACCCGCGGGGAGGCCCCGATCTTCAACGCCTCTTGACGCCTCTTTAGCCAGCGGCCTAGGGCAGGTACTGTTGGTTGCATGAAGGCTCATCCCCGATGGGCAGCGAGACCACCTCATGCCAGAGATGACGAGCATCAAAGATGAGGCATGTCGAGACCACAACATGCGCAAAGCAAGGAGGCAACACACCATGGCGCGCATACCAAACATGACACTACAGAAGCGCGCTGTGTGCGCGACCTGGAGACTGAGCGAAACCTCGCACACTGCAGAGATGGCACATTTTTATGACCACTCAGGGCTGCGGGAAAGAGGAAGGGGAGAGGTGGGTCAGTGCTCGCATGCAAGCAGGGCGGGGCCACAGCTAGTCAAGACTGGGCGCTCGGGGCGGCCCCTGCATCCAGTCTCGCTGCGTCCTCCGTCGCCAGGGCGACCTGCTCCGCAATTTGTCCCTGCAGGGCGTTGGCTACTGCCGACCGCAGGGCTGCACGAGCCGCGGGCCGTTCGGCCTCAGCCAATTCCCCTGCGGCACGGCGCAGCCGCGTCTCCGCTTCTGCGCCCCAGCGGCCGTTGACATCTAGGACAAAGGGCACCAGGCCCGAAAATGGGTACCTACGGTGCTTCACTTTCTCTCTGCGCTGCAGGGCTGCCTGGCGCGGCCGCCCCGTCTGGGCCACTGCCACCCCGCCCACCAAGCTGATGTCGAGGCAAACTCGGCCATGGATGCCTCGATGGTAGACCACGTCCAATGTGGCCGCCCCTTGCTCCTCCGTGTACCACTCTGGGATGACCTGCTCCAGCAGGGCACGATGGCCCACCTCGCGCAGCCAGAGCGCCACGGCGTCTCGAATGGCATTGTGGCGTCGCGTCGGGCCGCCTCCCCTGGGGCAGTTGAGCGCACGAACGCCCCAACCGTCCACCGCGCGGCCGCACGTCGGGCCGTGCTGCGCCATCGCGCGGGTGGGCGCTGCTGGTCGGTTCTGGCACGTGCACTCGGACTGCAGCAGCGGCAGGTGCATGCGCCTCTTGGCAGCAATGCAGAACGCGCGGTCGGCGAGGGGCGAAACCCCTTCGAATTTATCCAACCAGGCGCCCGCTGAGCTGCCCGAGGCACTGTGCACCGCCGCGGCTGCCGTTACTGGCAGCGCGGCTGCGAACGTCTTGGTGACGTGGTCCCGCACGTGCTGGGTGTACGTCTTCTGGTCCTTCCCCTTCCGCCACTCCAGAAGGCCCTGCCAGCGGTCGCTCTGAGGACGACGGCCGCCAGCCAGCCGCCCCTGCTCCTCGTCTGCTGCTGAGAGGACACGGCCAAGGCCTGGCCACCTCCGAAAGAGGCCGATCGTTGTCGATTATCGGAGCTCCTGGGCTGCCACGTGAATCACAGCTTCCCAGGATGCCAGGAGGGCGGCTGGGCCGCGCTGCTCAGCGCTGCCACAGCCCAGGCCCCCGTCGCTGACCTTCATGAAGATCTGATCCCTGGGGGCCGCCGCGACCCCGAGCAAGGCGTCGACGAAGGCGACCACTCCGTCATCCACCCTGCGGCTCCATGCCGCCGTGAGTGGGAGCGCCCGCTGGATGTGGACGCAGGCGCCCCTCGACCAGATCCGCATTAGCTGGAATGCGTCGAAGGCAGAGAGCCCATGTCCGCGAAGCGTCAACAGCTCCTTGAAGTAACGGTCCTGCTTCTGGAGGAAGGCTTCACCGCATGGGGGTGGCGTGGCGGCGCTCGGGGCGGCCCCGGCGCCGCCAGCCTGCCCGCGCCCTCCCTCGTCGAGGTCCTCTGGGGCGGCGAAGTCCGTGAGTGGGACGCCCCTCCAGTCGGTGTCCACGTCGTGGTTCGCGTAGGCCAGGGTGGACCCCACCGCCTTGAGCTTCTGGACACGGTACTGGGCGTACTCTGCAAACTCGGGCGGCAGGACAGCTTGGGCGTCGGGGGACCATATCTGGGTCTTGGACATCTTGAGCTTCATCCCGTGGGCTTCGATGCGGGCGCGCCACGCATCCAAGCCGCGGAACACGGCGGCCGCGGTGCCCACGAAGTACGCGTCGTCCAAGAAGGCTAAGCAGCCCCCTTCCATGTCCACCGCGCGCACAGCCACGCGGCCGATGCTGAGGGTATCCGCGGTACCAACCGCGTAGAAGCCTGGGCTCATCGGGCAGCCCTGGTCGAGGCCACGGATCTGGTCGACCAGCTGGGCGGGTTGCGACCCGCCCCCCGCCGCGCGGCGTGTTCGGGCGGGGAGCCAGGCTTCCGCCAACGGGGCCAGCGCAGGCACCTTGCTGCGCACGGCCTCCTTCACCAGGTCGCGGGGGATGTTGCTGAACGCATCCCCGAGGTCCACCGCCACCACCCACTTGCCTGGGCTCGAGTTGGCCATCGTGCATAGGCGTCGGTGGAGTGCACCACATCCGTCCTTGGCAAGGCCGAACTGCTGGTCTCCCACCGCCGTCCGCATGTCCTTGTGGTGGACTTTGGCGGCACTGCGGCCCGCCATACGGCGGGTGACATTTCCACAGCCCAGGACTCGCACATCCCCAGGGGTTGCCTTAGGGATGCCTGTGAGGCGCGCCGCCGTCATGGCGGCTAGCGCCTCGGAGGGGAGGTCCCCGATGGCCAGTCGAGCCAGCGTGTTGGCCACCGCCTCTGCCCCATCCTCGTCGTGCTTGAGAGGGGCCCAGTGCTCGTAGCGCCCTCCTCCAGGCCGCGCCCCTCCACGGCGGGGGAAACGGCCAAACTGACGTTTGAGGTGGTTGGCCACGCGGCGGTGGAGTTCCGCTGCGCCGTCGAGCTCGTGGGGAGCTGCGGCTGGCGGCATCGCCGCGTCGGCCCCCGCCCCTGCGGCCCCTCCCCCTGGCCCACGCGGGGCGGCCCCAGTGCCTGGGAGAGGGCGCCACTCGCCTGTGCGAGGCGCCTCGGACTGTTGGGTGGTGCTGAACTTCCTCACCACCGCCGCTGCGTCCGCCATGTCCCCCTGGGGCCACGCTGCCGCCGCCGCCCGAGACATCTCTCCCGCTCGTGCGAGCTCGGTGACACGGCGCACGCGGGCTGCGACGTGATCCTCGCGGCCTTTCGCGGTGACCGCGGTGCGCGTCTGGTCCTCCATGGAAAGCCAGGCGACGTCCCACTGGCCGTCCTGGATCCACCGCAGGCGCTCCTGGAGGCGCCCCCGTCGCGTCGTCGGGGCCGGGGTCGCATTTTCGCTGAACAGCAGTCCGTCCAGCGAGAGGAACACCTTCCATAGCCGCGTCAATGTACTCGACGACTGAGCGTCGTTGCCCTGGCGGGCTTGCTCAACTGCCAAGCACAACCGCGCCTTCACGTGGCTGACGGCTGCCGCCATGCTGTCGGGGATCATGGCTGTGGTGGGCGCCCCTTGGAGCAGGATGCGGCCCCGCCCGATGGCATCCCACCAATCCAGGTTGACGAAGCCCACCTCGTGGTACGCGTCCTCACTCGTCACCTGGTCGTCCAGGTAGTCGTCGTAGACGCCTGTCTCGAGTCCGCCATCCTCGCCTGCTTCCGCAGGGACGTCGGGTGGCGGTTGTAGGATGTCCGCCGTGGTCGGCACCGCTGCTTCGGCCGCCCCCAGAGGAGCCCCCCGCGCGCCTGGGCCGTGCGCTCCTGGCGCGGCGGCGGCAGGGGGCCTCAGGGCTGCCCCGGTGCCCCTTGCCGCGCCATCTCCTTGGGTGGGAGGGGCGGGGGCCTGACCTTCGACTGTCTCCAGCAGGGGCAGGATGGGGCCCCCTCGGGCCTCCAGGGCTGCCGTAAGGCGGTCCCTGCCGCCCTCAGGGAGCTGAGTAAATCCCTTCTGAGAACGAGCTCCAAGATGGCCAGACGGGATCCTTTTTCACACTACCCTCGGCTCGCGCAGCACACCGATCGGAAGGTTTCGTTCGCCGCTGTCGGCGAGAGCCTGGGCCCAAGCAGCCACGAGAGGCACAGGCCCAAGAAAAAACACCCCCTCAAAAAGGGAGGGTTGGGATGGGAAACTAGAGCCAATACGTTATGGACATCTATTCTGCACCTGCTATGCATGCTGCCCCACCCCCTCCAGTCTCTCAGGCCCGAGGGGGGGGAGGTTCAAGCGCTCAGGGCCACTAGGCCCTGAGCGCTACACACGGCCTGCACCTAGAGCTCTCTAAGAAAGCCCGTTAACAAACATGTATTCTGAGAACGAGCTCCAAGATGGCCAGACGGGATCCTTTCTCACACTACCCTCGGCTCGCGCAGCACACCGATCGGAAGGTTTCGCTCGCCGCTGTCGGCGAGAGCCTGGGCCCAAGCAGCCGCGAGAGGCACAGGCCCAAGAAAAAACACCCCTCACCCCGCAACCTCGGGTTCTCACTTAAAGACTGGGACTGGGGGGGTGGGTGCGTCAGCACTGATATATAAAGAGTGAGGAGAAGAGGGAGGAGACAATTTGGCTAAAGGCGGGAGGCCACAGTGCTTGGCACGCCGCCGCGTCTCAGGCTGCCGGGTCCACGGGCTCCATGGCCTGGCCGGCGTCAGATCCTGCGATGTACGTCAAGCCCCGCGATGCTGCAGATCGCCATGGGCTCTGAGTGGGGATGCTCTCCAGCGTCGAGCTCAGATCATGTAGGGCTCTCCGGCCCGCGTCCTTAATCTTCGCAGGTAACCGTGCGTCATGAACGATAAGAGAATGTGGCTTCGCATACCTGGCCATCGACTTGGCTTGTGTCCACCGTCCGCGTCTCTGAACTTCTTGAATTGAGCGTCTCTTGTGCAAGATATCGTAGCTCGGTCCGCTGTGTCTCAACGTGTGCATCGGTCCGACCCACTCCAGTCCGAACTTGGATTGGATGCCTCTCCAGACTGAAGTTGCTTTGGCAGCTGTGGTATTGAAGACCTTGTCGGTAGGTTTGATCTGCTTGACACGCTCCGCCAGGATGTGTGAGAGAAGACCGCTGTCAATCGCCACTCCTTGCTCTTGACCTGTCTTGACACTCTCACCTCTGTGTCTCCGTCCAAGAAGTAGCGCCACTTTGATCCCACCAGCTGCATGCTGAGTGTCGTCACTTGGCAGATCATTGAAATACGTTTTTCCACTAACATGAACGTCTTCACCCTTCAGCTGCAACCAATCCTGTTCTCGAAGATAACAATCGTACGCTACAAGAAATGCTATCCCCTCGTCTATGTGGCCTGATTTGATCGCCTGGGATGATATGAAATAGATTGCTTCGGCAGAGGCTGGGCCACCTTCCCAGGACTCCTGGAATTTCTCCCAGCTATGCAAAGCACGCAAGGAGATCGGCAACTCAGACTTCCACTCTGGAAACATGTGAACCAGCCCATGGTACAATCGAACTCCTCTTGACACCGAAGCCCTCTCCACGAAGCACATGTGGTCTAACTCCGCCGCAAGGGTGATGTCACGCTCGGCCGCCGTGGCAAAGGGAAGCCTCTTGAGACGCACCTTCACAAGGAAGGGCTCCACCTCCTTGATGTAGCACACGTTAGTGTTGTCCTGAACTGCGCGCACGAGAAGCCGCAGAGGTACTTCCAGCGTGCCAGAGCCCAGGCTGGTTCTCGACACTGGGGGCTCCCGAGCGGCGTTCTCGAAGGCGAGGGGGCCTTTCTTGTTCTGCGGAACGTGAGCTCGTTGCTTGCCTTTCTTTTTGGCCGTCTTTTTGACTGTCACTGCTGCTTCGAGAGCTCCGGCGAACATTCCCACGTCATCAGCAGCCTGCCCATCTTCACTGTCGAAGGTGTGGTCGCCGTCAGCCTGGAAGCTCTCGTCCTGGTCGGTCGGCTCCGTGTCTGCAGCTGCCGTGGCTGTGATCTCTGGAGCCGAGGCTAGAATCAGGATCGTCGTCATAAATGCCAGGCCAGGTCGTAGTCGTCGTGCATGCCCCTGATCTCCAGCATGTCCCCGAAGAGCCTCTCGAACTCGAAGTCGCTGTCCATCACGCTCTTCTTCTGCTCGGACTTGGTCTTGGTGATCTCGGCGCTGCCTATCTCCTCGCCTCTCGAAGGGCCGTCGGCCGGGTTCATGTCTGTGGGTATCCACCTCAGCGTCAATCGGATACCGGTGGCCAGCGTGATCGCACCGATCTTCTTCAGCTACGTCATCAAAGGTCGCGAAGAGCTCCGCATCTTTCTGACTGCACCCACCGTCACCATAGAGTCGCACAGGACCAAGACTCGGCTGAACCAGTTCTTTGACGAGCGACACAGGTGACGAGATACCGACGCGACCGTCCTCATTTCCTGCACAGTGATATGATCGTGATACGCCCATACCCCTTTCCACGCTAGATGCCATCGGGATACTTTGGCCCAGTGACTCATGACTGCGACTGGCTTCGGCGATGCGCCTCGGAGTTCTCGCATGCGCCAGTCGTGCAGCTTCAGCTCGTTGTTGGACACGGCCTTGGCCACACAAGAGGCATAGGCCTTGCACAGGCGGGGCGGGTAGACTGCTGCCAGGCGCGTCCAGAGACGCCCTTGAGAGTCGCGTCCCCGCAGCTCCTGATGATCGTGATCCTGAGAGCACTTGCATTCGAGCTCCTCCAGCGCCAGCACGTTGGTCACTATCCGAGTTGGTTTCTTCCATCGGGCTCCGAAGGCACAGTACACCATCTCCACTACGCGAACTCCATCCATCGTCAGCAACTTCGCCATGTCGGGGAGGTCCCAGATCATCGAGGTCCTGGGGTTCTCCAGCGAAAAGCCTGTCCCCGATGCCAGGCACGCGTAGCAAATCGAGATCGCTGCCTGGGCCAGAGCATTGCCTTCCCGTACTCTCTGCACCTGCTGAGGGGAAAGACCTGGGAGACCACGAATCCAACGGCCTGGAGCTCGCAAAGGGGGTCGACGTGCCCGCGAGAACGTGGAGCATGGAGGGGCCAAGTGGACCATGAAGAAGAGGGGGCGAAGGACGGCGCGACAGACGAGCTCGACGAAGGACGAGTCCAGCAGATCGTGGCGCGCCTCCCGTGCGTTGTCCACGAACAGGGTCTGGCACTGCAGTTCCTCGCGGATCGCCTGCCCGAAGCCGCCGTACCCTGAGAAAATGTCGGCCATGAACTTCATCGGAGGGACCTCGCCATCGGACACCACGGGGGGGATGCCTCGTCTGGCTCGCTCGAGGTTCTCGCCACTGAGCAGCTCCTCCTCCTCCTCGTCCCTGGCCATGTCCCGAAGATGGTCGGCTCTCCACTGTCGGTTGACTTCGGCTCGGACTTCTTCCCGGCTCGCCTCCGTCTCGACTACCCCTAGGCCTTCTTCGCTCGCATCCGTAGCAAAGACACTGGAGCTCCACTTCGACTCCAAGTGGGTATACATCAGGGGGGCCAGGTGGTAAAGCATGTACAGCTCGTTTGTCACGCTCTCCCACAGGATGTGAACCTGATCGTCGTCGCCGTACTTCGTCACGAACTTGTAGCAAGCATCCAGCATGCAGAAGGCGGCCCGACAGCACATCGCCAACCACACCCACGACCCAATTATCCTTGATAGCTCGGTTGGCGTCGCTCGACCTCGGTCCAAAAGGGCCTTGGTCGCACCAATGACATTCTTGACTTTCTCCTGAGCTGCCATCAAGCGATGAGGGCGCTGAGTGATCGTCACGCCCAGAGAGAGGGGCATCGCTGCCCCGACTCCGTCTTTGTGCATGTCGAGGCCCACCTCCTTGAGCTTCTTCCCAGCGTGTTCGCGGACTGCCTCCGCCACCTCGCTCATCTCGTCCTGCTGCAAGGTCATCGAGGCGAAGTCGTCCATGAACACCCAGTAGATGAAGGCCGTCTCGGAGAAGCTGGGGGGGACGCGCCCGTGGACCAGCTGAGCTCCCCGCGGGAAGCCAGGTAGATCGCACAGAAGGTCCTCCAGAGCACCATGACAGATCGCTGGTGACCAGCTGAAGCCCATCAGCATCACCACCAGGCACAGGTAGCGGGCCCCCTTCGGGACCGCCGGCACCCCTTTGCCCTGGCGCTTGAGCTCCTTCACAAGCTGGGGGATCGTCACGCCTCCGAACACCATGTACGGCCACAGCTCGCTGCAGCTCTTGCATCTGTGAAAGTAGTCTGGCACGTCTCCCCACGTTGACTGCAAGACCCTGCCATCTGTGATCTCGTCGGACAGGTCCAGCTCCGCCATCGCCATCGGAGACCCAAGAGAAAGGTGAGGTGGCTTCTGAAAGCGCTTGTTCACCTGCCTCAGGTCCCAGACGGGCCGGAGAATGAACTGGCCTGCCTCGTTGACTTTCTTCATGACGAAGAAGACCGAGACCTCCGCCCTGCAGATGTCCGTGAAACCGAGCATGCCTGACTCCCATAGTCTCAGCGCGAACTGGAGGCGAGCTGACCTGCTCCTCAAACTGGGGTCCATGTAGGCTCTCGTCTTCTCGATGTCGGCCTCGTCGACCTGGCTGGGCGGCAGGCACATCCTCTCGTGGAATCGGTCGAAGTAATATCTCGCTTTTGGTGAAATCATCCTTATGTCGCATGGCTGCGTCCCCGCTGGAGGCAGAGACGCTTCGCCGCTCACGAAGGGCATGACCTTCCCTCGTTGCGGCACGTCGTCGTCGTCCTTGTCTGATACACTGAAGCCCGCGTAGGTCCCAGGCTTGGCATGCAAGGCCAGCCGCTCGAAAGCGGACTCGGCGTCGGAGTCGTACATCTTCTGATCGTGCGCGTCCCTGTGGCACTGCAGCACCCTCTCGGAGATCCTGCGCGGCAGCTCGTGGCTCGTGTCCCACTCCTTGGAGGATCCGAAACTGGAGTCCCGCAGGTCGTGGTACGAGTTCGTCGTCAGCGCGGCTAAGGACCTCAGAGCGGCGTTCGTCCTGACCCTGATCGCTCGCTCCTGGGCGAAGCGAGACCTCGACCGCCCCGAGGGAGACGACAGGGGGGACGGCGCTGGCAGGAGCGGCAGCACCTCCAAGGGGTCGCGCACTCGACCCTCTGATGAGAATTCGACCTCCGCTCTCATCGTGATGAGAAATTAGGAAAATAACGCTGTGCAAGTTGTGGTAGATGTGGGCAGCCTCCAGGACGATGGCTGCCAGGAAAATGCGCTTCGCGAAGCGCCTGAATCGTGAGCACCTCCCAGCTGTCAGTCGTCCTTGCTTGTTGAGTGCTTCTTGTCCTGCAGCTTGTCGAGGGACTTGGCGAGAAGGGCGCGGTGAGCCAAGCGTTCGCGAAGCTCCTTTTCCACGCCGTCGATGAGAAGGCCATCCTGATCCGACTTGGTCGTGTCGAGCTCCTCCAGCAGGGCGTAGTTGACGCGAGACTTCCAGCCCGCCTTGGAGCCGTTGGGCGGCTTCCAGTCCGACCTCTGCTTGACGTTCTCGAAGGCCCTCTCGATGCCGTGGAGGCGTCGCATCGCCAACTCCGTCGTCTTGTAGTTGATCCAGTCGGCTGGCGCCTCCACCATGGATCGGTCGAGCATCATGCTGATGAGGAGGGCCTCCTCCGCCATGTGGTTGCCGTCCAGCTGCTTCGTGCGAATCATCTCCCTGATGCTCGCCACCGCTGAAGCCCCACTGCGGTACAGGCGGGCCACCATTGACGGGGCCACGCGCGTCTTGATGCCCCCTGGGATCGTCCACGCCACGTCGCTGGAGTAGGCCTGCAACTTCTCCTTGGCGACCTCGCGCATGTCCTTGAAGGAGTCGTCCAGGCCCTTGACCAGCGAGTCGATCTCTGGGTTGGACGTGGAGCTGACCACCCGCTGCTCGGACCCGCCGGCGGTCACGGCCATGCTGTCCTGCTCCACCATTTCCTTGTGGCGGTCCAGCCTCTGAAGGAGGGCCCCCATCATCTGGTCGTAGCTGTCCGCGCCGATCCCAGGCTTCGCTGGGGCTTGAGGTGCTGATGGCGCTGGAGTTGGCTGAGGAGGCTCCGTCGGGCGCGACGCCTGCCTCTCCTCGAGAGCGGAGAGCCTCTCGGCCACCAAACCCAGCTGCCTCAGAACTTCTCCTCCCACCGAGTCCGACTCCTCGGCGTCTGACACCTGAGTGCCTTCGTCCCTGGGAGTCGATGATCCTGACTGGCTGGGAGACGGTGTGGCCGACCACGAGGGCCAGCTCCAACCCGGAAGCGCGGGAGCTGAGGCACCAGAGGAAGTTGTGGGCGATGGCGCAGGCGAGGGGCGAGATGACCTGCAGCACGACATGAGGAAGCCACTCACGAGCATCACGCCCACTGAGAAGTAGAGAGGCTCGAGAGCTCCTGACTCGTGCATCTCGAACACCGTCTCGATCTCCTCCCTGAAATACTCCACCGTGTCCACGGTCTCCTTCAGCGACGAGTAGCTCCACTTCACCCACTCCACCACGTTGAGGTAGACGACTGCGCGCCACAGCACGAACGTCGAACCCGCCGCCGTGCCTAAGCTCCGGCGGGCCCAAGCGTAGCCCGCGATGTTGGAGCCCAGCTTCAGTAGCCACGACACCGCGTGGCGGCGGTGGGACCTGCGTCCCGCGGCGCCTCCACCTCGAGGATGGTGGTCCCTGGTGATCTTGCCTGTCGTCAATGCGGACCCCGTGGCGATGATGCGGTCGGCCGCCTCGATGGCCTTCTGCTTCTCCGTCGCCGAGAGGCCCTGGAAGGTGCCGTGGTTCACGCCCGCGAACTTCGTGGACTTCACCTTCGCGGGCTGCCCGAGGTCGAGGACCTGGAGCCTGCCCGTCGGGTCGATGCAGACCCATCTCTTCTCGCCCAGCGTGGAGCTGAACTTGCTGACCAGGAGCATCGTGAGACCCTGGTTGGAGTCCGCCCTCGGGCGGTAGTAGATCCTGTTCCATCGCTGGAAGGGCATAGGCTGCCCCTCGGGCTCGTCCTCGCAAGGGTCGACGTCCTCGGCGTCGACGCTGGGCTCGTCGAAGGGCGACTCCGGCTCGGGCTCGCCGTCTCCCAGCAGCAGCGGGGAGCCTGACAGCACGCCGCCGAACCCGCCCGAAGCGTAATCCAGCAGATCCTCGAAAGCGTCCTCCTGCACCAGGGCGGTGCCGAGCACGCACGCGGCGAGCCAGGAAAGGCGCGTCGTGGCTGCAATCCCGCGCGCGCTCAAAGGGAGGCGCGAGAGGGCTGCTGCTCGTTGAAACTAGAGCCAAAACGTTATGGACATCTATTCTGCACCTGCTATGCATGCTGCCCCACCCCCTCCAGTCTCTCAGGCCCGAGGGGGGGGAGGTTCAAGCGCTCAGGGCCACTAGGCCCTGAGCGCTACACACGGCCTGCACCTAGAGCTCTCTAAGAAAGCCCGTTAACAAACATGTAACCATCGCCGTGGGTGGTGGTAGTGGGCCATCCACGCAGGCCATGTGGAACCACTTCCTGCCCGCGTGCGCCTGGGACCCCGCGGGTGGTGTCACGACGCCTGCCACGCGCCACTCGCCAGCCTCAAAGCCTCCCATGCAGCGCGTGCAGTGAGCCTTCTTGCCACGGGCCGCCTGGGCGCTGACGCACCAACGGTGATGCGTCCGCCCGTCATGCGGCGCCGCCTCTGTGCTGGCTGGCCCTCGCTGTCACGCATGTGGACGTCGGTGTTGCCACCCACGGGGATGTCGGCTGCGTTCACGCCAGCCGACGCGGGAGCGGCAGCGGAGGCGCACGGGGCGGCCCCAGCACCTCCACTGCCTCCCGCAGCTGCCAGTACTCCGCCTTCGCCTCGAGCCGCAGCGGTGTTACTCCCAGCCACTCGAGCCCCTGCACCTGCGTCCGCAGCGCCGCCAGCGGCCGCCGCCATCCCAGGACGTCCCTTCAGGGCAAGGAAGGGTGTTCGTAACAGTGAGGGCGCGAGAAAAGGAAGGGTGACTGTCACCCGCGGTTTGAGGGCAGCAGTAGCCCCCCCGCCCACAGGCTCCCCAGAGCCTTGGGGGGACTACTACTACCACTACTACTACTACTACTACTACTACTACTACTACTACTACTGCTACTACTACTACCGCTACTGCTACAACTGCGACGATGATGGAGAAGGAGGAGGACGGCGTTTACCATTACTACTAAGATTGCTTTCCTCGGGGCTCCAAGTCCAGACAACCCCAGAGGTCTCCAAAAACGCCGACAGACTGCCCATGAGGCTCTCAAGTGTGCCCCTAGACGGCTCAAGAGGGCCCCAAGATGGACCAATAAAGCCCGAAGACGGCCCATGAAGGCCCCAGGATGGAGGGATAATACGAGCTGCTATTTGGAACCCTCTGCCCAAAAATGACCCCCGAGGCCGCCTATATGTGCCCAGCAGGGCAGGCCGAAAAAGGCCTTGGGATGCCCAAGAGAAAACACAAAGAGGCCCCCAAGAGAGCCCAGGAGGACTCCGGGAAGCCTCCAGGAGACTCCGAAGAGGCTCCAACTGGGCTCCGAGAGACTTCGAAATAGAACTGGGCCCCAAGATGCCCCAACATGGTTGGTATGCTATCACAGCGTGAGGAGACAACACGAAAAAGTTCTGGGCACGTCCCAGAAGGACCCGAGACGGCTCAAGAGAGTTCCTGTGTCTTCCATATGTCTTTCTGCCTCCTGTCTGTCTTTCCTCGTCCCGCCTGCGCGTGCTCCGCCAGCCGACGTGACAGCGCGTGCATGCCGTTTCAAGGCGGCTTTCTCTCCGTGGTCCGTTACCGCTCCTTCGTCCTGCGCATGCTCCGCCAGTTGGCGCATCAGCGCGTGCATTTTATAGCACGGCTGTGCTCCTCCTTCGTCCGTCTTTCTTCGATTTTCCTGCAAGTGCTCCACCACCCAGCGTGACAGCGCGCGCATTATGTGTTCAGGCAGTTTGTTTTGCGTC